GATCAACCCAGCAGCACCTCCAGCTCGGACACCCCCGGTGGTACCCACGTCCCCATCGCTCCAAGTGCTCATGGATCCAGGCTCAGTTAACGCCCTACTGCTCCCAAAAGCTGGATGGCACCAAGAGGACAAGTCCAGGGAGCACAGTTTACCCTGTGTGTCCCCTCCCTCACCACAGCCCTGCAAACCCTAACCCAAAGCACGCCATGCCAGCTCTGCACGAGGTGAGGAGCTTCTCCTTCGTCCCAAAAACTCAACCCTTTCTAGGAAGAAATGTTTCCCTGTGCGGGGGGTGAGGCAGTGGCCCAGGCTGCCCAGAGAAGCTGTGGATGCCCCATCCCTGGAGGGGTTCAAGGCCAGGCTGGATGAGGCTTTGGGCAACCTGGGCTAGTGGGAGGTGTCCCTGCCCATGGCAGGGGGGGGCGCTGGATGGGGTTTAAACGTCCCTTCCGACCCCAACCATTCTATGGTTCTACGATCTCCCTGCTGGGGACAAGCCCTGCCAGAAAGTGCCACTGCAGAGACTGGGGGAAAAAAACCCAGGTGGGACTGAAGAGGGATGACTGAATGTCTGGCATCTTTTATATAAGGAGATGGCCATGCCAGGTATGGACCAAAAATCCCAGTAAATCTTAGCAGCTGGTATTGGGAGCTCCTGGGTGTTTGAGTTTCAGGAGTGACATGATCTCAAGGTCGTTGAACTTTGGGAACATGGACAGTGTCAGCCTGAGCAACTGCTGATGAGTGTTTGTGGAGCAGGACCCTGACTGGGAAGCAGCACCATTGACCTGTTGTACACAAGAGGGACCAAAAATTGCTGCTGAGTTGTTCTATTGCTCCTCTGGCTATGCTGGCCATCCACACTGTGAGCAGAGACTCTGCTTCAATCCCCAATTTGATGCTGTAACACTAATGAAGTCCCCCAGCCCTCATAGTCTGTCCTGCTCCCAACTTCTCCAGTGCCTGGTGGTACCATCCAGCCTTGGCTGAGCCGAGCATCAGAAACACACAGACGACATCTTCACAGTGCCAAAGTCTCAAACACACAAGTCAAAAACCTCCTCCACACCCTGAGCCATATGGTGGCCACCGGACAGCAATAACAGACATAACAGCATCTTTTTCCCTTCCCACCGTGCCTCCCGATGGGATCAGAGCTCATCCAGCAACCGGCCACAATGACACAAAACCCCCAAAACAGCACAAAAGACTCGTCACAGCTGCCGCCCAAAGCTGACCCCCCCCTCCAGGGACGCAGGACCCTCGCCTCCCACCTTGGCTGTAACCCAGCACAGCACCTGGCCCCTGAGAAAGGAGTTTAAAGGAGTATAAAGTGCCTGGGGACAACCCCGCGCTGCCATCCCGGCGTGTCCTCCGCTGTGCATCTCGCGTCGCTGCGTCCCTGTGTGGGGACGATCTGTCACAGCAGCCCACCGATGCTCCAGGTCTTGCTGGCAAGACCCAAGTTTTCTTTAAAAACTCTGAATGTGCCAGGCAGCACCATAAAAATAAAACTAAGAAGGAAATAATTCCTAAACTCTGTTGTCAAGAAAGCAAGGATCCCGGAGGCTTTGCCCCTGAGCTCCCTTTTTTAACAAGCTCTCTGGCAAAACAGCCACCCAATGTCCATCTCCCCTGTATTGCACACAGTCAGATGCCTCAAAAAAGACACAAGACCCAAACCCAAAGTGATGGTCTTGGCTCTGGGATCTCCAGGTCTGCACAAGAAAGCGTTCCAGACTGTAAAAGCGCCCAGCACGCTGCTGGTGGCATACACACAATAAATAACGGCTCCGTGGTTTATCCTGACCCTTCACTGAAGCATAAAGGAAAAATAATTAGATCTCTGGGTATTTTTCTATGTCATTAAAATATTTGCACAACGAATCTCTGTAATCAAAAAGTATGGAGTGAAACCTGTGTTCCTGACCACTGAGGGGACAAGGAATTAAAGGATGGGGGAAAAAGAGAGAGATGTGGTTCAACCGTTCAGAAGGGGGAATGGGGATGTGTCAGAATGGTCCCTCCCAGCAAGGGAGATGCTGGCTCTGGGTAGCCTTGGTGCAGGTTTCCTGCACTATTTTCTAGGCAGATCTAGAGCCTTACAATAAAAAAGCAAATGCAACTTGCTGCTGCTGGGAAGAAGAAACCTTTGGCTGGGACACAGCTCTGGTTTCTTTCCTGTGATGGCTTGGGTGTGGGTAACTCACAACTGCAACCCAAAGACTGCACAAACATTTTCCTGGGCTCGCAGCAGCGTGGCATCTCCATCAACGATAAAACAACAGGAACTCAGCATCTCTATCAGCAATACCGTCACAAACTCATAATCTCTTCACATTTGCCTGAGATTAAACTAA